CCCCCACACCGCACTGCACTCAAAACGGTCATAATTCAAATGGTGAGTCATGCTCGACGTGGCTGGCAGGTGGCATGAATGCAAAGCAAGCCCTGCGTGTCTTCAACACAAGCCTGCAATCCTTCAGTCTTGCCCTTGAAGCGGCTGAGCAGTGGTGGTGGTGGTGGGGGGGGGGCACTCCCTTCCCTCCCACGAACAACTCTTCCCTGTACTGATCAAGTACATGTATCCGCATTCACATGTGGAGTATTAAAGTAGAAAATCAGGTGACCCCCCCCCCAGTCAAGTCTACTGTCGAGACTTGAAAGATCTGTTGAACCCCCCCCAGCACTGAACATTTTTGTGGCGCGTGTGGCCATCAAGCAGCAAAAAAAAAAAAAGCAAAATTACATGTTGTGTGGAGGACTAAAAAGGCGGCATTTAAGAGGCGGGCTTAATGGGAGCTATTCGGAGCCCCCCGCTCGACCCGAGTGCCGCCGGGATGACGTAACGTGCTTCCGCTTTGCGTGGGGCAGCGCTTGGCTAACTGATTGTGCCTTTTCCGGGGACCCTCGCCCCTTCGCTTGATTCCACTGTAACGCACCGCCTGATGTCGTCTTGTTTTCTAGTTTCCATTTTTTATTCTTGCTACTCAGCACAACCTCGAAGTTGCGCGTTGAGTCGAGCACGCGACGTCAATGAAGGCTTTTGTGCGACGGAATTCAACTGCTATAAAGTTCGTGTAACGTTCCTATTTTTTAAAGTGCCAGTGAGATGCAAAGTTCTTTCAAGAAAAACATTTTTCTTTGAACAAGTTCAGGTGGCGATCTGCCGGTCTATGGTTGCGATTGATCACAGCGTGACGTATTGAGCGTTTCTGATGATTCTCAGAGGCGGGCAACAATTGACGCACGGCGGAAGCCGGTCGCGATGGGGCACCCCGTGCGTGCCTCTCGCCAGCCGCAAGATGCTTCGAATGGCTGCGTTGTCGACTGCGCTGGGTTACGTCACTAAATAGCACAAGGTAACATCAATGATAAATGAGTCACTTTCGCTCTTAGAAATGGACTTTCTCTCTCTCTCTCTCTCGCTGGCTCTTGTATGGACCTCAAGACATCCATATATATACATACACACACACACGCACACAGACGAAAATGTGACAATACAGCTCTTGCATTGTGTAAGCGTATGTCATATTGTTCTTATTTTATGTTTGAGCATAACATATTATTTCATGTTAAGAATACCCAAATTATATTCTGTTGTTTAGTACTTGCTTGGACATGATTTTATGTTGATAGCTTCCGATTGGTTGAAGAAAAGGAAAGCAGGAAGTTTCCTTTCCATAAAGCTGCGTTCAAACGGAAGCCATCTCTCCTTTTGGCGTTTGGTCAAGTCGAGCCATCCATTCAAAAACAACGAAGCCCTCAATTTACACGTTGTTTGTGACTGCGGGGGTGTACCTAATGTTGTGGCCCACACTTGCCGCATCTCCCTGTGAGATTCCAAAGCAGCGCGTGGCCTCCGTGCGTGTGTACGAATGAATTCCTCGAACAGCCTTCTTTAAGGAGTCGCTCTTGCAAAAGATGAACTGGCCCTCTGCGAATTATGTAATTCTCCCCCCCCCCCCCCGAGAATAGCGTGTTCTCTCAACCCGGCGTCTGCTCCACACACGCAAACAACAAACGGCTCTTTGTTTTTCTTTTCAAAAATCGCCTTTTGATTGATTGGAGAGAAAGAGAGATGGAGAGTGGGGCGGGGGGGCGACGCTTTCACCTCATGAAGAAGAAAAACAACGCCGGCCTGGTGTTATGAGGACGGCCGACATGGGTGACCGTCTGTCAATTGGCTCTGTTGCCGTGGCAACAACCTTGATGCTCCGTTGCAGGGTAAAATCAAGCAAAAAAAAAAAAACCATGACCACCGCATCCGTGAGTCATCGGCGAACACGTACTCGCAGCCTCCTGAATGCGGCACAAAGCATCACGGGAGTGGTGGAAGTTTAATCAGTGAGGGAATGACAAGGTTGTTCAAAAGCAGCGGTGGGAACGAATGATGGCGACATTTGACGCAGCCCTGCGTGCAATTCGACAAAAAGAAACTTCAGTGGCACTGCGACTAGACATTTAATAAATAAAAATAATAAGCTTATATTTGGACACATTGTGGACTTGTCTAAAATAGAAATCCTGTGTCAAACCAGGGTAGACGTGCTAATGCTACTAGACTAGTTAAACTGATATGCTAACCGTGCCAGCCGAGATAAACGCACTTGCTAACTTTGGTAGGCAGTGTTCAGGTATTCTCAAACTTAGCTATTCCTCGGTAAACTTGGGATAACTTCTCCACATGCTCACATTGCCAGACTACTCGAGAAAACTCACGTGCTAACTCTGCTAGCTCAAGTAAATTCATGTGCTAACTTTGCTAACCTCTAATTTATTTTGCTAACTCCTCAAGCGCCGGTAAACTCGTGCTAACTTCCGTAACCTGGAAAAACCTTGGCTAACTTTGATCACCTCAGTAAACTCGCGTGAAGGGAAACCATTTATTAAACCTCGGCACATTTTATTTAGCCTGTGGCTCACACTACAGACATTTGAGCCCTTACTTCCTGCTAGTTCGAATCCCATAATGCTGTGCCTTTCATTTTGGCGTGTAGCCCAAAAGCACACAACACTTGGAAATGGAAGTACCGACACCAAGATGTTCTGTTAAATTGCATGTCGATGTACTTGTCAGTGTGCAATCTTTGCTAGGAGCCTGGGTTATCTCATGTGCTAAACTGTGCTAGCATATGTCAACTCCATGTGCTAGTTTCACTCAATTCTTGCTAACTAGGTAAGCTTGAGTCACCGGAAGTGCGAAGGCCTGCATTTCCTCACGCACTGCACTACGTTTAGCCTGCGTCAGTTCGAGACACACAATCGGTATCACCGCGTATCTTGGCGTTATGCTGACAGCGCTCTCGTGTCCATCTGCCATCTTGGTCACGCTTGATAATGAGATGCAAACAGCCCCCTCTGCTTCCCTCTGATATTTAATCCAATGTTTGCCTTTCATGTCAATGCTCCTATTTACTCTTATAAGCAAAGGGTATGTTTTCCCCGCGTTCACATTTCTTCCCACATGGAGTTGCGCATCTGTTTTTCGGTGTGCGCTCGGGGGCTCGTGAGATTAAGCCGCTTCTTTTAATCCTCCTACGCGCCACATGACTCGACCGTGATGCGCGAGCTCGGCCGAGCTCTCATTGGTGCGCCGCCTTGGTCTCCTCGGGGACCACCGCGTGCCAATCGGAGCTCCTCGCCTCAGCATCCGCCCCCTCCGTCGAGTAGGGGCGGGGGTTCTATGAATGGAGAGAATGCTCGAAGAGACCCCCGCCATTCTCCCATCTTGACTTTCCTCTAGCGTGACTTCCTTCCTTGTACAGTTTTGAGTTCCACCAGATGACCTTTTATTGTCTTAATACAACTGTTATGTACTGGATAGAATTTTTTTTTTTTTACCCGCTTTCCTGTAACAACTCCGCAAATTCTCCCCAAAATGTCGTCAGTTCTAACGTTAGACTTTATTTTTAATTTTATTTTTGTGATTTACAATGCAAAACATGTACAGTACACCTTTATTTTTGTCTTTTTTGTTGATTTTTTTTTTTTTTTTTTTGGGTTACCTGAGGTGGTCACCTGCATGTTGGCATTCAAACCAACAACCGCACGCATTCCGCACTGCCCGTCCCCGAATACAGCAAAATTTGAACTGTGTGGGCTTGCTCTCGTTCCAAATCCACAGTAACTGCCCGTGCTCGCTGGCGGCAGCCTTGGCCAGGGCGACGTCGGACAGCATCCTACAGAGTGACCTCACCATCCATCACCTCATCAAGAGTGTGGAAGACGGAGTCGGACCCTTACCCCGTGAGTCCGACCGTGTGTGGTTGTAATTGAACAAGAATGGCTCTAAGATTGAGCTCTGAGGCACACCAGACCACCACTATGGGTGAGAGATTTGGCTTGCATACAAAATATTTGCCTTCCAAGTTCAAATTTTAAAAGAGGTTGACCGTTTCACCGGCAGTGAGCATGAGGAGGTCGCCTTTGAGACCTTACAGTCTCTCCCTCTTGCCCTCTCTCTCTCTCTCTCGCTTATCTACGAACTTCTCTAATCAGCCTCTCGGAAAAAGTAAAGCAGCTCCCGCCGGGGTTTTGACGTTCACAAGTGTGTCACGCACTTGCTTTGGAAACGGGGACTTTTCTAAATTGGCTACCAGGGAAGTGTGACGCACACTTTTTTTGAAGTCTGCTTTCTGATGTTTTGTACCATTTCTGTGGGATTTTTTTTTCAAAACACTAGCATGAAAAAGATTTGGGATTAGAAATAATAGGTAAGCTTTGCCGCCGAATGGGCCACTTGCTGAAAAAGTCGCGCTGAACTGCAATGCAAGGGAACCGATTGAATTGTTCAAATGTAGAATGCGGACCCTTTGGAATCATTTGACAAATGCGGAAGGAGCACAAATGTGTGCCATCTCTTCATTTTGGAGAAATGGGCAATTTCGATTGGGAAAAGTGCGGCGTTTCGCTCACGTGGGATCCCTTGGGCGTTGCAGAGATCGAGGCGGTCAAGTTGGCGCGGCTCATCTTCAAACGACTCTTTGAGACGTGCGGCGCGTGGACCAAGGAGCTGCCTTACCGCCGCCGCCCGCAGCCCTACTACGAGACGTCCATCCACGCCATCAAGAACATGAGGCGCAAGATGGAGGACAGGCACATCATCATCCCCGACTTCAACACGCTTTTCAACATTCAGGTAAGCGCAGCCACCGCTTCCCCCCCCCCTTAAGTGCCGCCATTTGGCCGCTTGCCTTAAAAGCTTTCTTTCTTTCTTTCAAGGTTTAAGGTCTTTGAACCGGGAAGGTTTATCAAAGCGAGTGACTCATGCTTTCGGTTACGTAACGGGATGGGGAAAGGACTTAATGCCAGGAGGGGGCTACCTATGAGTGTTCACTTCACCTTCATAAGACACACTTAAGTTATTCGCATTCAGGATTCACATTTGGATGCAGCTGGACGAGATCTCGAGGACTCCAAGAAACGGCCTGAACGTCTCTGCTTGAAAGTGAAATGGAAGCCTTAGTTATTGTTTTCTCTTCCGACTGGGTTGTTGAGACTTTTTTCTTCGGTGTAAACCTGAGCGATGTGGCGACAGAATTTCATGTTCATAAAGTCAATCAAGCCTCAGAGACTGACACCAAAATGACTCCAAAATGGCCGACTTCATGCGTGTTTTCGGACACGGGTTCATGAGACCTTTTTTATCGCTCCGCTCCTCATTGACACGTCGACTACATTTCATGTCGTCCAGTGAAGCCGCTTCCCTTCGCAAACGTCGTCTTTGGTGTCTTTAGGATCAGGAAGAACAAGCTTTCTTCGCCGTGTTTGATGGACACGGCGGCGTGGACGCCGCCATTTACGCCGCCAACCACCTCCACGTCAACCTGGCTCGCCAGGACTCTCTAAGCCAAGACCCCGGCGAGGCCCTCCGCCGCGCCTTCAAAATCACCGACGAGCACTTTGTCAAGAAAGCCTCGCGGGAGGTAACCGTCCGCCGCCACACAGTTTTTTTCTCTCTCTCTCGCCTCGAAAAGCAGCGAATGATCTTGAACCCGCGCGCTCACTCCGGCAGAACCTGCGCTGCGGCACGACGGGCGTGGTGACGTTCCTGCGCGGTCGGACGTTGCACGTCGCCTGGCTGGGAGACTCCCAGGTTATCCTGGTCCGCCGGGGAGAAGTGGTGGAGTTGATGAAACCGCACAAACCGGACAGAGAGGTCGCGGGAATGATTGGCGATGCGGCGGTATGAAACAAAACACCCGTTTGACTTTGTTTCTCCAAATGTCCGCAGGATGAGAAGCAAAGGATCGAAGCCCTGGGAGGCTGCGTGATCTGGTTCGGGACGTGGAGGGTTAACGGCAGTCTGTCGGTATCCAGAGCCATAGGTAAGCGGTCCATCCGGCGCCGGGGAGTCAAACGGGATTTGAAAGTCTCACGAGTTTCGCGTTTCCCTCGCCAGGCGACTCGGAGCACAAGCCCTACATCTGCGGGGACGCCGACCACGCCGCCTTCCCGCTGGACGGCTCGGAGGACTACCTGCTCCTGGCCTGCGACGGCTTTTGGGACACGGTGAGTCCGGACGAGGCGGTGCGCGTGGTGAGCGACCACCTCCAAGAGAATGCCGGCGACACCGCCATGGTGGCGCACAAGCTGGTGGCCTCGGCCCGCGACGCCGGCTCCAGCGACAACATCACCGTCATCGCCGTCTTCCTGCGAGATCCGCGCACCCCGCCGGCGCCCGCCAGCGCCGAGGAGGACGAGGACGAGGGCGCCGCCGAGGCCGAGGCGGAAGAGGAGCCCGCCGCCGCCGCCGAGGCGGAGGAGGAACCTGAAGAAGAAGAAGAGGAGGAGGAAGAGGAGGAGGCGGCCAGGGCAGAGCGAGGCGGCGAGGGGGGCAGCGCGGCGGACAACGAGGGGAAAAGCCGCGGCGGGTGGCCCCTGCAGCAGTGCTCGGCCCCAACGCCCGCTGAGGAGCAGGTCCCGCCTCGCTTTCACGGACCCGCTGGGGCCCCGGACCGCCTCGCCGTTCGGCCGGGTGCCCGGGCCAAGCCGCAGATGCGGCGACCTCAGGTGGCGCCGTAGATTGGCCGAGCCGCTGGGTTCCGTGCCCCTTTACGCCATCTGGAAGCCCGGCGCGGCCGTGCCCCGACTTCCCCGCGCTGCCGCCATCTGACGCGAGCCGCCGCCTAAACACGGAACCACCTCCTTCCCGGGTAACTTCCTCCTATCCAACACAATTTTTGTTCGGTTTCTTTCTGGATACTTTAGATAGTTGTGGCTCCTGCGTTCGTAAACGTGACGATTGACTGGTTGTGTCTGTCCGGGGGGGGGGGGGCTAATTAAAAAAAAATAGTAAATATCAGCCAGCCCACCAAACATAAGCTGCGCTCCAAAGTATACCACATCATCGTGAAGCTCCAAAATGTTCTCATTGATGGTTCTGCTCATGAGATGGGACTGTTCTTCACAGTCGCCATCTTAACCATCAATTCATAAATATCTTTACAGCGGTGGTGGGTGGGGGAGTCTCTCTCTCTCTCTCTCTCTCTCTCTCTCTCTCTCTCTCTCTCTCTCTCTCTCTCTCTCTCTCTGATTGTTCTGAACTCCTCTTTTCATACCATCGTCATCATTGAGTGGAATAACGCTGCTTCGCAGGAGTTCCATTCAGTGGCTAGAGCTGGCAAAGCTAACGGCCTGTTGTTGTTCTGCTACTTTAGTCCGCAAACGAGTCGAGACCAAACCAAGAGTGCCTCTGCTGGTTCCTGCCGAGCAGTGCACTGCAATTTGCCTCCATAGCTTCAGGGTGCCATCAGTCGATTCCACAAAATTGGCAGGAATTCACTGTGATGGTTTTTGGTAAAATTCAGTTTTTCCTTCAAGGTGAGTCATCAAATTCACGCGGCCGTGCTTGAGTGTTTCCCGTTTAGCATGTTGCGACGTGAAACTCGATTCCGGGGCTTCATCCGACCTCAAACCAACCCAGGCGCCTCTTTTTTTAAATACATTTTTTTGGAGAAAGGCAAACAAATTTGGTGGTGCCGGTACAGGCTTTTCATTAGTCAGGAGGGCGGTTCCTTTCAGATTTTTTGACACAGAGACCACTGACCCCTCTGTCGTTCCGCCGTTGACCCGGTCGGTTATCCGCCCGCGGCTTGTCTACAGATAAGAGCACTTAAAGGGCGGATTACTAAAGATTAGTCGTTACTTGATTAGATGCTGTATCATGCTTTCCCTGATGTGGATTTGGCCCCTGTGTTAATGGGTTTTTGAGCGAGGACAAAGGGCGATTTAGGGATGTGTTCCTGACGTCGGCAGCGTAACACAGCGCGGGCACTTTGACGGCTACAGAACACGGGGCTACTCCCAAAGCCTTCTTTGCCCGAAAACTTACTAATGCTAGCATACAAACTGGAAACCTGCTAGCCAGCTAGCAACTTAGCCAGCTTGCTGGAGGTAGAGTTCTTTTTGTTTGTTTGTTTCCCATGTTAGCATGAAAAATTGTCTTAATCAAGAGGGACAATAAGATAATCACAATTCAAATGTCAACAAAGTGGTCCGATATTATTTATTTTCCGATGATGAAGTTGTCTTAAACTAGCAGAACAACTGGAAAGCAGCTAGCCTATTAGCTGGAGATGCCAAGTGGTCCAAGTGTATTATTTTGGTTTTCAATGATACCAGAAGATGTTGTGTTAAACATGCTTTATGACTGGCAACGGACAAGCCTCCTTTTTTTTTTTTTGTTTTGGTCTGTTTTTGTTTCTAACGATCCTAAGCTAGCTAGCACAACAATTTTTTTTTTTGGTCTGTACATAAAACTACAGTATTATGTTCTCTGCGATGCTAAACCAGCCCTAACGTCGATTGCAGCGTGATCCGCGGCTCCACTTGAATCTCCTCATAAAAGAACAAACCGCATGTGATCCTCCTAATAGATTCAAATGGTGACACTTTCTTCGTTACACGACAGCCTTATGCCAAATTACCGCTAATTCAAGTTCATTACGTTCTAAATTCCTACTGCAACTGAATTTAATGAATGACGATGGACTTTGTATTAGGAGTATTTTATTTTTTTTCCGTAAGATGCTCATTTGACTTCATACATAGCCTAAGGTTAGGAATACTACGTAGTGTAGCGCTTGCTTCCTTGATGAAGTGATCCATACATTTTCTACCTTCGGAGGTAGTATCGTAAGTTTGTCTCTTCCTGTAAAGACGTATATAAAGTCAAACCAGTGAAGATTCCGCCTTCCGAAGTAGTATCAGACTCAAAGACTGTCACCGTTTAGTGCAGCCACATTTAATGCACATAACGACAACAAATAGCTTGCTCATTGTGATCACCAGCTTTATTTTATCCGCCTTACGCCACATTTTGCCATTCAGGTTACAGTAGAGACCACTCACAAAAATGTGCTGAGATCGGGCCTTTCCACTTGTCTGCCTTTCGATGACTCTCCAGTCTCTGCTGAAACCTGCTAATGGCATGATCAACCCCTCACTTCAGGATTTTTGCCTGTCTTCCTGCCACTTCTCTTCCATCTTACCCCTCTCTCCCGCTGGAAAAGACTCGTTCAAGAGAAGCGGCAGGAAAACGTGGCAAAATCCAGATGTCGGGGTCCTTATCGGCGGAGGTTGCATAGGAGGAGATTGCTTAGTTTGAATTTTGGAACAAAATGATGTGTGATTTTCAGGCTTGTTTTTTTTTTCACCACAGCGCCATCTGCTGGAGCTAATGGCAATTATTACTTAGTATTTGTTTTGACAGCAATCGTGATTTTCCTCTGATTTTGGACTTGGACCAACTTCGGTGCAACTGACATCTTTAATTTCATTCTTTCGGATCCCATTTCAGTGTCGTCCTGGTTGCCTGAAAGAAAATGTGACAACAAAACAAACAAACATTTGCTGCAAGAGCGGTCTGTGTCCAAATGTGCTGAACTCATTTTTTTTGTATTTGTTTGCAAATGGTGAAACTTGTTTTCATGGGATCCACTGATGTATCAGTTAAAGTGCTGAGTACAACAATGGTCTGCCCCGTATATGTCAAAAGTGGAACTCACTCACCCTTTATCTGAAAGAGAGGCCTTTGCTCTCGTCATCCAAAAATGGAGTTAGCCCACTCTAGTTTTTCAATGGCTCATCATCGGTCCATCATTTTAGTTGCCTTTCCTAAATGTGCATTGTGTCTGCGTACACAAAAGCTTTTTTTTCTTCTCTCAATCGCTCTATTTCTCTCTCTCTTTCTGTAAGCAATAATGTGTTGGGGACAAAACAAAAAGTTCTCCAGGGGGCTTGTCTGTGGACAATACGTGGAAGACGAACCCCCTCGTGACCATGTGCAGTTTACGTTGAAAGCAAGTACTTACAAGAAATAATCTGTACGTGTATGATGTGTGCTCCTCTAGTATGTGTGTGTGTATGTATTTCTATTATACAGGCACACATACATAAATGCATACAGTAAATATAATACCTGTACTGTAACGGATGACTAACCATCATGTATATAAAGACTAGAACAACTCAACGCTGCCTGTCTTCATTTTTAAAATAAATGAATGAATAGAAATCAACCGATGGTCACCAGACCTAACCCTACTTTGAAATCCTACTTTCAAGCTGGAACCACAACATGAAAACACAACCCGAATCGAAACCCAACTTTAAAGCCTGAGCCCTAATTTGAAAGTTTACTTTGAAACACAACTTGAAAGCCTAAACCCTAATTTGAACCCTACTTCGAAACCCTAACACAAATTTTGAAGATGAACGACCATGTATCGTAAGGCGTTTTTAACAGTCAAAAAAAGACCATGTTTAGTAAGGGGTATTTATTCCCCAAAAAACGACCATGTATAGAAAAACGTTTTTTACCGAAAAAAACGACCAAGTACAGGAAGGCGTTTTTAGCCGAAAAAAATGACCATGTATAATAAGGCGTTTTTAGCCGAAAAAAACGACATAGTATAGTAAGGCGTTTTTAGCCGAAAAAAACGACATAGG